AGTTTGTTAAACTTTTATTTTATAGAAAAGTTGTTGTATCTAAGGAATTATGATGGGAAGCAGAACCAAACCAATGTACATATGTATTGACCGTTCTTCCGCAATGAAATCATTTTTAACAAATGCAAACACGCAAGTGTTAAACATACATAATAATATCTTTTTNGACAAGGTTTCGAGGATAATCGTAACAATATAAAGTGAAAATTTTTAATAAAAAACCCGCGATTTTTTTTCATTCTCATCATCTGGCAGCACCAACATCTGTGTTCATTTCCAGCACTTCCATGTAATCAATGAAATTTATATGGGGAATTGTGCAACTTTAAATATTAACAACTTTTTAAATAGAAGCCTCCGAGCTCAGGGGTTTTCACTTTTAGAATCGGAAAAAACTCCTCTACACGCCCTCATTTTTATTTATTTTTAATTTGGACCGAATTGACGGAAAATTTTCCCAATAATCTTCTGGGCAGTATCAAAAATGATAATATAGGGAATTAGGGTCNTGCTCAGGGGTTTTCACTTTTAGAATCGGAAAAAACTCCTCTACACGCCCTCATTTTTATTTATTTTTAATTTGGACCGAATTTACGGAAAATTTTCCCAATAATCTTCTGGGCAGTATCAAAAATGATAATATAGGGAATTAGGGTCTTACCTTGATTGTAGCCTTGCTGAGGCTGATAGCTCCTCTGCATCCGAAATCCGATTCTGATTCTGATTTGTAATAAGAAAGTGTGCCATTTTTTAATACAATATAGCGCGGTTGCCACCCATATATATAATTCGTCCACTTGCTAAGATAACCACGGAGCTCAACACTATTATCGAAGTATTCATTTTCTGAATCACCACTTTGCGAGCTGGTATCGAGGGGAAATGGCCCCACGGTCCGTATGGTTTGGGACTCCATGGATATTGAAAGTGTCCAAGAAAACGAATTATTTAGGTTAACATTCACATTTATAGGCACTGGGTATACAAAGTTGTTGCTTCAGACACATTTTGCTTTACTTAAACTTTCTGTTTAAGCTACAAGCTTAAAGATTTCAGTTTTCCATAACTCACTTTCGACAACAGTTTGTTAAACTTTTATTTTATAGAAAAGTTGTTGTATCTAAGGAATTATGATGGGAAGCAGAACCAAACCAATGTACATATGTATTGACCGTTCTTCCGCAATGNACTTCAGACACATTTTGCTTTACTTAAACTTTCTGTTTAAGCTTCAAGCTTAAAGATTCAGTTTTCCATAACTCACTTTCGACAAGTTTGTTAAACTTTTATTTTATAGAAAAGTTGTTGTATCTAAGGAATTATGATGGGAAGCAGAACCAAACCAATGTACATATGTATTGACCGTTCTTCCGCAATGAAATCATTTTTAACAAATGCAAACACGCAAGTGTTAAACATACATAATAATATCTTTTTTCTTAATTTGTCGCCAGTTCCACAGACTTCCACAAACTTAATTCAATTTGAAAACACATTCACAAATAATTCTTTTTTATACGAATCCATGACAATAACGTTATATATAAAATTCTTTTTCAAAACTGGAATAAGTGAAATGAACCACAGGGTGCCTGTTCCTACACCGCGATTCTTAAAATATATCGAAACAGGATTCGAACTAGGAATAATGTTCGATATCGTATCGATTATTCTAAATATTGATATTTGATGGCACCATAATCGATTTTTTTAATCGATATTCCAAGGTCGATATATCGAATATATCGACACTTTACCCGCAATATCGATATTTAATTTGAAATTTATTTTTAGTCTACAAAAAATTGTATGGGAAAATACTAAAGTAGGTTTACCCTGGGATTCAGTAATTCAGTCTCATCTCAAGTCACTAAATTTGAGATTAGCAATTAGTGACTATTTTTTGTGACTTGAGACGATTGCGATATTCAGAAGGAGAGAGTCACAAAAAGTTCACCAAAAATGTGTGGTGAAATCAAACACAGACAATCAGCTGATAGTGTTTATGTATGCCTTTTGCCCGCGCCGCTCAAAGAGTCGCAACGGCCGAGTGGTCAAAGCATTAGCTGGCAGCCGAGAGGGTCCGGGTTCAAGTCCTCCTCGGCCGTAGAGGTTTTTTTATTTTTTTATTGGTTTTATTTTTTTAACAATCTTTAGATTTTAATATTTTAAAAACAAAAAAAATTAAATTTTTTCAATAATTGAAAAATTCCTGTTGAACAAATTTCCTCGCTTCATTTGCGCGTTTTTTTTTTTTAATAAAATGGAAAGAAGTAAGCTTTTCCTCCATACTTCTATNTTCTTTAGATTTTAATATTTTAAAAACAAAAAAATTAAATTTTTTCAATAATTGAAAAATTCCTGTTGAACAAATTTCCTCGCTTCATTTGCGCGTTTTTTTTTAATAAAATGGAAAGAAGTAAGCTTTTCCTCCATACTTCTATTCTTGTGACCTGCTCTTAGCCAGCTGACAAATTAGAGACTTATTTTTGAGACTAGAGACGTGAGACAGCGTACTGAATACCAAATAGTCTCAAAATCCAAGTTCACCACCAACAGTCACTATTAGTGACTAGAGACCGCTTACTGAATGCCAGGGTTAATCAGCAGCTTGCCTGATTTATTTAGCTCTTAAGTTTGACAAACCGCTTGAGTCAACCGGCATGCCGTTTTAATCCTCAGAAAATATACAAGATGGAAATAACACAATTAGGTGAACTGACATACAGGTCTAATATTCTATTCAATTGGGAGTAGGATTTTCAATATCGATTTTTCCGATATCGATATTGTTCAGACCGATATATCGCTATATCGATTTTACAAGCAACCCTGCAAAAAACGGCTGACCATATCGGAAACAAACTATCGATTGTAGGCTCGCCTACATATGTACATACATACATACATTAATGAAAATTTTACTTCATTGTTAGCTGTGGTGAAAAATAAAGAAGAAGTCGGTGAATTTAAAGAAAGAATTCATCAAGATCCGTATATTTTATTTGTATATAAAAAAATGAGCAAAAAAACCTTTTTTAACGCTATGTGGATAGAGAAGAAAACATTTTAGGCCAGTGCGCTTATGCCGACTATGGAGTCAGTGACTATAGTGCTGAAATACAGTGCAACGCCAACGTGGGACTCCAGCAGAACCTAGGAATGGAGGTAGAAAGACCAAACGGCGCTGAGACATATGTTTTTAGCGACGAAAATTCAGACCCCGATGAAAAATAAGAAGAATTGTCTGAGCTCAGTGGCTCTGAAAAAGCTTGCGAAATTAAGTTAATATTCGACAATATATTTTTACAAATAAAATAAACACATAACCTAAATCGAATTGTATTTTTTAATATAGTTTCATGTATTTTTAGATATTTCGCTGCCAACTATTCAATAATTTATCAATTATTTAGAGGTTAGAATAGTGGTCAGAAAAATCACTGATTATCGCGATATTTTCCCAATAGTTTCATTGCTAAACACACTTGTACATCACCAGCTAGATGACATGTGTGAGCAAGTGAACATACTGTAAGGCAAATGCGCCCGTATGTGTGCAAGGGATGCACTATCACACGCCCAGCGAAGTGGTCACTTTTTTCCCCAAACCCAAGGCGTATTCAATAAGGTGGTATCGGTACGCCAACAATAAAATGTACATGTATTTTGTTTTTGCTTTTGCGGCGAGGACTGTCAAAAATTGCATAGGAATGATGTGAAAGAGAACAAAAAACCATAAACAATCCAACCAATCAACAGCAGCCATTTGACATATGAAGCCGTGAGGCGAAGAAAAATAAAAGGGTGCTGCTATCACCTGTTAAATACGCCTTGCCCAAACCCATACAAAACTAACCGCTAAACTGACGAAAAGTTTTAGTCAGTTTTCTCAATAATTTAACCGATAATCATAGGTCAGGCTTCTTGCAGGGAAGTGAACATACTGTAAGGCAAATGCGCCCGTGTGTGTGCAAGAAAGGGATGCACTATCACACGCCCAGAGAAGTGGTCACTTTTTTCCCCAAGCCCATACAAAACTAACCGCTAAACTGACGAAAAGTTTTAGTCAGTTTTCCCAATAATTTAACCGATAATCATAGGTCAGGCTTCTTGCAGGGAAGTGAACATACTGTAAGGCAAATGCGCCCGTGTGTGTGCAAGAAAGGGATGCACTATCACACGCCCAGAGAAGTGGTCACTTTTTTCCCCAAGCCCATACAAAACTAACCGCTAAACTGACGAAAAGTTTTAGTCAGTTTTCCCAATAATTTAACCGATAATCATAGGTCAGGCTTCTTGCAGGGAAGTGAACATACTGTAAGGCAAATGCGCCCGTGTGTGTGCAAGAAAGGGATGCACTATCACACGCCCAGAGAAGTGGTCACTTTTTTCCCCAAGCCCATACAAAACTAACCGCTAAACTGACGAAAAGTTTTAGTCAGTTTTCCCAATAATTTAACCGATAATCATAGGTCAGGCTTATTGCAGGGAATGAATTAAATCGATTCATGATATCGATACTTTCTTAAATATCGAACATTCTTAGTTCGAACGTAGGAAAAATCGATTACTTTAATTAACCAAATGATTCATCCAGCCCCACAAACCACAAATACAAAAAAAAAAACGAAAGATCGCGACATTGTACTTGTAATACCATGTTCGGACCGACAACGAAAACACTTTGAAAAAAAGTTTTGGAATTGTGGGCTGAAAGCTGTCAGTGTTTTAGTTGACATTTCTTTCTTCATTTGTTTACAAGTTTTGCACGAAAAAACAAAATTCTTATCATTAGCAACCTTTTTCTTTTGTTCTATCTTAATTTGGCCAGCCTATTTGACAATAAATGTCAATATAAAAGATGATAAAATACCACTCTCACTTTGATAAATATTTCTAAAATACTAGTGAAGACACCGATTGGAATGAAAGCGAAAACTGCTTTTCGTTTGACAGATTTTACATCGGCGAAAACGCAAGTTTTAAGTCGAAAACCAGTTATAGCAACGAAAACTGGTTTTATGAAAAAAGTTTGGGAACGTGGGTTCGTCAGCTAATATTACCACGAGCATTGCCAATTACGTAACACGCTTCTGATTTACTTTGGTGAGTTACCTCGTTAACCGTTTAGGATAAAACCCAGTAAGCATTAAAAATATACAAAGGTGTTCTCTGCAAAAGGTGTTCAGTTCCTTTTCTTCGCAAAACAGAAAGGAGAATTCTACTGCCTGAGGGTTATAATCCCTAAGTGCGGCCGAAGGCCGCCTACGCAGAAAGGTGTTCTCTGCAAAAGGTGTTCAGCCCCCTTTCTTTGGCAACACAGAAAGGAGAATTCTACTGCCTGAGGGTTATAATCCCTAAGTGCGGCCGAAGGCCGCCTACGCAGAAAGGTGTTCTCTGCAAAAGGTGTTCAGCCCCCCTTCTTTGGCAACACAGAATGCCTGAAGGTTATAATCACTAAGTGCGGCCGAAGGCCGCCTACGCAGAAAGGAGTTCTACGCAGAAATACATTTGTTAAAAAGAACATTTTTTTTATAAAAACTTGTTTTTTCTATTCTTAATTCACTTTTTTATTCTTTATTCAAAATCGCCCGTTATCTAATTTGGCATAATTTCTTTTATTAAAAAATCCCACGGTTTCTGTTAGTTGGGTCATATTCCACTTCAAACTGCTCAGTTTGCCTAAGAAAATTCCGTTATTCCCCCTTTTTCAAACGGTTCCCTAAGGGCCTGTGGGAGGAGCCCAAGGGGGGCGGTGGTTACGCCTTTTTAGAAAGCGGTGACTGGACCTTTTCTAGTGGGGGAGGTTTTGGGGCACCGCCCCGTCCCCCTCCGCCCAAAATTTTTGATATCAAAAGGCATAGTGAAAAAATTATGCTATAGCTTTTTCAAAGGTACCATTGAACTAGTCTCTCATTGTAGATTCTGATTCCTCCATGACTTTTAAAAATATGACTTTTATCATTTTGAGCAAATAATACCGATTATTTCTGCTTTTATTTTTTTTAAGACAAAAAAAGTTAAAATTTGCCTTTAATTTTTTTTTTACCAGAATATAATCGGTAATTGTTGACTTTTATTTTTTTAGGCAAAAATAAAAGTCAAAGTTAAAAAGCAAGTATTCGAGAGCTGTGTATACTCGAATGTGATAGTTTTGAAGCTACTACATGGAAACATGGAAACCAAATACCAGGGTTAGTTCAAGTCTGTATACATACATATTTATGTATACATACAATACATGAAGGGAGTTTTTCTGCACCGATTATTCGA